AAAAAAAAAAAAAAAAAAAAAAAAAAAAAAAAAAAAAAAAAAAAAAGAATATGGTTATAATGAAGGCAAGATCCTCTGGCCTTGATGTTTCACTCTTGAGTCAGAAGAGCTCATCTCAAATGAGTAGGATGCCAAGAACGGTGGGCACCATGACCTCTAGCCAAGTTGTAATCCAAGCTACTCCAGAAGATCTGGCTGAAAGAGCAAGAAAATCCCAAATACTTAGGTGTTTTGATTAATGTGGTGAGAAGGGGCAGAAGTACTGGACATTGGTGTGGGAGCTCATAAAGCAGGGAAATGAGCTTCTTCCCTGCATCAAATCCCAGTGTGCCTGGGACATCCTCTTCCTCCCAAGAGCTCAGTCTCCCCAGATATAAAGTATAAAGAGTGCACAAATTCCTTAAATATCACTGACTTAGCTGGGTTCTAAGTATGAAGCTGGGTTCTGTGAAGGTTGCCCTGGCATATCTGTGAGCCTGGGAAAGAACCACTCCCGTACGCTGAACAGCAGTGAGGTAGAGCAGAGCTTCAGGTGTAGACAGATGACCACTTAATGTTATACGCAGCTGACTTCAGGGAAGAAAGGACCACTTCTCCTCCTTCTTTCTCCTCCCCACTAAGCATCTGTTCCAACTAGAAGGCAGAAAGGGAATGGGAAAGGGAGATAGGAAAGGAAAGGGGATGTTAGGGAAGGAGATATTGGGAAGGGAATGGAAGGGAAGGGAAGAGAAAATCAAAAGAAAAAGGGAATGAGTGGTAAATAGGGAAGGGAGAATAAGGGTGCTTTCTAGGATAATTTGGGTGGCTAAAAAGTGGCAAAGTGGGTTTAGCCCTTCCAAAAAATGGATGTGTTACTGCTTTTATTCTCTCTGTAGATGAGCAGTCACCCCCATTATATAAAGGACAGGGATTGTGCCTCTTCCTTTTTCAAATCTCAGGATGTGCTGTTGATATGAAGGTGGTGTTGGAACCGCCAAGGAATATTATGGTCTCATGGTCAGATACCAAACTGTCACATTGGACCTGTGGTGGCAAAAGAGCAGAGCATATGAGGAGAGGCTAGAAGAGACATGATCAGATAGTTGAGAAGAATAGAGAACATACAGGTTCCATCATCCAAGTGTGGGAGCAGAGTTAAAGCAGTCGGCACAGGTGAAGAGTACAGATTGAGCCCAGGAAGACCAAGAAAGAGCAATGCTCTCAGGGGCCAGGATCCCTGATGGCTGGGAATGACAGGGATCGCAGGGTAATGTTGACACCACAGGTATGAGTTATTCAGGAAGAATATGTACACTAGAGTTCAGGGATGTGACTCCAGGTGTGTGGAAAGTCCAGGCTCAGAGCGCCGGAGATAGGGATCCAAGTTTATTAAGGGGTCACTCTAACCCTAGTGTCTCCAAGTTGAAGAGACTGAGCCTAACTTAGCTCCCATTCACTGAGCCTTGTCAGGCACTGTGTTAGATAAGTTATATGTACTATCTGATTTAATCCTTATACTGCCATGACATAAGAACTGTTTTGTCTTTTGCTTAAGAAGGACATGACTTGGAGAAGCTAAGTAACTTGTTTAGCTAGTAAGCGACAATCCCAGGATTGACCCCAAGTGTGACTAACTCTAATGTCCATGACCTCAGCTGCCCCACCGTAGCACCTGTGTAGACCTAATCTAGCACCAGGGGTGACGCTCCAGTGAGCTGATCCTCCTAGGAGACAAAGAGGCATCTGAAATATGGAGCCCAGAGCTTGCCTTTCTAACTTCATCAGGGAGCATAAACCTCCACCTGGGAATAAGGCTCTCATTCCTGCTCACTCGCCTCTCTCATGCTCATCTACTTTTTACCTTCCTTTTTACCTTGGCTGATTTAGGCTGTCTACCAGAAAGCCCTCTTCTCAACAGTGCACCTGCTCAACAATGTCTGGACTGCTCTCCCACACCCTTTTTCTCCCTGCCTACCCTGACATCTCAGACTGTCCTACAATTACTTTGGCCTCAGATTTTAGAACCACGCTTTGTTAAAGCAGGAGAGGGGAAGAGAGCTCCAGAGATCTTATGCCAAAAGCCCCTTGCACATGAGAACACTGACCTCCACCAAGGTGTGGTGAGCTGGCTGAGAGGTGGTGGCACAGCCAGGAATAGAACCCAAATCTCTCAAGTCTCACAGACCCCTTCAGGACTCTCCACCATATTCTGTGCCAGGAGGCTGAGGATGATCCCCACACCATTCTTCATTCAAAAGAAAACCAATTGTCCCGTGTCCACCTCATCTTCCTGGGGGATATTTCTTACCCAGAGTACAGAATGAAGCGAAGTAGAGTGTGTCATTCTTGCTGCTCACAGGATTGCTGGCTTGGCAGGTGTAAAACTTGGAGTAGTTTTGTTTTGTAGAGGTAACTTCAAGCACACTGTTCTGGAGCCCCTTTGGAAAGGGCCCTGAGTCCCCATACCACGTGTAGTTTACAGACTGGTCCAGTACCTTACATGATAGTTTCAGATAACAGTTGTTCTCTGTTTCCTCTGTCTTCTCAATTTTTATTTGAGGCTTGGGTACAGGGTCTGAAGATGAAGAGGATGTTATAAGATGAGGCAATGGACTTATGCATTTATGAGGCATTTACACTGCTTGACTGTAGCCAACAAAGTACAAAAGGAACCAGGGAGGGGCCCCTGAATGACAAGGAGGCAGAATCATAGAAAAGAGAAGCCCACAGAGGAAGCCACTGAGCAGCTTCAACCTCAGGAGGCTTCAGCCCACAAGAGCTACTTCTTGGAGGTAATGCTAAGCTAGAACCAGGAGGGGGAGCCAGAGTCCATTACACGCCCCCAGAAACAAAATGGGGCTATGACCATCTGTGAACCAGAAAGAACAATCCAGTGTCAGCCAAGAGATCAGTTGGGTCAGACTTGGTATCCCACCTTTGCAATGCTCAGGGCCCCTTCTCTAGAAATGCTCCACAGCTGGCACCTTGGTCAGTCAATTCACTCAAGAACTTTCAGGCTCTGATTCAGCAAGAGTCCCAAGGTTAGAGGTACTGGCTTGACGGCAAAGCCTTTTCCACAACCACCCAATGGAAAGTCCAGACTCCTGGACACTGGCAGAGCTACAGAGAAGAACCTCATGTAACCCCTGCACATGTCAGTAGTGATGAACAGCACTGGTCTGTTATAACTTTGGTATCTCAGTGCCTGCCATAGTGCCTGCCACATAGCAGGTATTCTATGAATATCTGACTAAAGAATGATGAATGAATGTTATGAGATGGAAATGACAAAACACTAGCTTTGAAGTGAGACCAGCCTGAGTCCTGAACTTGACTTTGGTGGAGTGACATTAGGCAAAGTAGCTAACACTTCTGAACTCATCTGTAGAATGACTCTACCTCATAGCACAATGTTAGTAAGATAAAATGGCATTGTCTATGGAGAAGTACTTTTTGCAGAGTGTAAGTATTGCATACATGCTAGAGGTCACATTGTCATCACTGCTGTTGTCCTGCTGTCAGATGGGGTGAGAGATAATCCCAGTATCTGGTTCTTCCTTGGCTAAGGCTGGTTTACCTAAAATCCTCTGAAATCTCTGCATTCTGGTCAAGGGCAAGACTCCTGCAGAATCTGTGTAGCTCAGACCCCATGGGATTAAAATGTGGCAGAAAGTTTACCAGATCAGAGCTTGCCTCTGGGTTGTATGTGTGGAAGGACTACAGAAGCACCACCAATCTAGCCTTCTGAACTTTAGTTCCATCTCCTTCGTGAAGCTCTCTTAGATTGCTGAACTCCCCTTACACACTTTAATTGAGAGATTTTTATATCGGTTTTCACCATTTCCTGTGTTCTATCCTATGTGTAAGACGTGAGTCTTACACTTCTGCAATACCCATGGTGATCAGCACAATACTGGACACTCTGTGGATGGGATTTATTGAGCCAGCTAGGGTGGTTGGGCTCTAAGATGCCCCCTTCGAACTATCAGAAGTACCTGGTCTGGACTGAAGAACAGTCCTTCTGTTAATCACATCCTGGAGATCTTACACTCAGGAAGGGTGTGCTGAAACCAAGCTAGCTTGTGAATTTTTAGGTATTCAGAAATTTTACAACCTGGTTGTAAAACCATTAGTACATTGGAATTGACTATGGTAGGAGTATTTATACAACAGCAATTACAAAGTTGGTAAATAATATAAATAGGGATTTTCTTTTCTTTTTTAGTTTCAGACAGCTAGTTTATCAGAACACCACTGTAAAAGACTTTGAATCTTCCTGTCCCCAGGATCTCCTGAATTTTCAGACATAGAGGAAGTGAGTGAGAAAAGGGCTTTGGCCTCTTAGCAGGGGACTATCTGGCTGGTGGGGCCTGGATTTCTCTAACACTCTTCCTTTGCATTGTGTTAGCATTTTAAAACTGTTTCACTTGCATTATCTACTTTGGTCTTCATAACACCCTAAAAGGTGTATATAATTATCCTTATAATATGTGTGAACACCTCTCTTGGATATCTTCCTACCCCAACCCATGGAGGCCTCCCCATGAAACCATGTTTCTGCTTTATAACCTCATGCTTTTGGCCAATGTTTCGATCAGATACACATGCCTGAACTAAGTTTTAGATTTCTTGGAGAATTTAAGCTCAGAGGTACAAAAATCTAAGCTTTGAGAGATCAGTCATGTAAATAGCAGGAATCCACAGGCACAGTTTAGATTCCTGAGGCTGGGGACTCTGGACTGGCCCTGGTTCTGTCTTCCTCCCCTTCAGCCCTTCCTGACTCTTCTAAACTCCTTGAATTGCTTTAAATAGTTCTAGTTTCTTAAAATAAATTTTTCTTCTTTTTTTATTTCCTTTGGTAAAGGTACATTGAATTTGTTTCTGTTGCTTGCTAGCTAAAGAATCTTACTAATATGGAAACATAGGTGCTAAGATGTTTCTCCAAGATCATACAGCTGGCATGGGACTGACCAGAGTTTTGAACCCAGGTCTGGTCTGTGTGCTTCCAAGTGCAGTGCTCTAGTCCTCATTCCAAAGGCACTGGTTAGGCCGAAAGTTTTTGTCCCACTCATTCTCAAAGGTAAAAACCCTTATTAAAGGGCCGGCCCGTGGCTCACTCGGGAGAGTGCGGTGCTGATAACACTAAGGCCCTGGGTTCGGATCCTATATAGGGATGGCCGGTTTGCTCACTGGCTGAGCGTGGTGCTGACAACACCAAGCCAAGGGTTGAGATCCCCTTACCGGTCATCTTTAAAAAAAAAAAAAAAAAAAACCCTTATTAATAGCTCCTACCCCATCCTTTATCT